AGATTAGTGGGTACTAGTGGAGGAAGATGAGAGAGAGAGAGAGAGAGAGAGAGAGAGAGAGAGAGAGAGAGAGAGAGATATGACCAATTAATCAGCTCATCTATATGCATCAGGTCACAGGTCAAGAGCCAACCAGAAGAAGATTGATTACCCTTGAGTCTGATGGATGCCCACTTTGATCATCAGCTGAAGTGGAGGCGAAAGGTCACTATTAATGGGTTCAAAACAGGTTCCTGGTCAGCATAGGTCCCTGCATGGGGAATTTCTTAGAGGAAAAAGGTATGTGTGTAGCAAGCAATGTTTGACTTCTCTTGTAAAATAAGACATTCCCTCTAAAGAGCTACTGTAATCAGAGAGAGAAACCACAAAGGCAGACTCACACTAATCAGTATAGAACCTGGTGCGTCCCTGCATGTCTGCCTTGCTGCATGATCTAGCCATCTTTTCTCCCTTCTTTCTAGAAAAGACATCTTTCCTGGCCACAGGAGAGTGCATGTGATTCAGAGGGGACTAATGGGTGAACTTCAGCTCCCCAGACACAGTGATTGGGTCAAGGGTGAGCAAAACCAAGCCAGGAAGAGTCCTTCCTTGAGATTTTAACAATGAATCTGGAAGAGAGCGATCCTGTTCTCCTCTGAGACCATGGATCTGCTGCAGCAGACATTTTCTCCATCATGAGCTGGAGAGAATGAGCCATGAGTCCGAAGTGGGGACGACAGGCTCAGAGAGCATCCAGACAGCTCTTAACTCCTGATGCCTGAAGGTCAAGTCTACCCTTGTTTTGTTCTTCCCATTGTTCGATTCAGAGATGGAATAAACTCTCCCTTCCTCTCTCTCTTTCTCTCCCTCCTTTCCTTCCTTTGCTTCAGTTAGTTCAAGTGGACTTTTTCTCGCCACCAAGGAAGTTCTGAAATAATATAAATGCTGAATTTGGTCATTTAGGCTAAACAAATTTTTGCTAGATTATGAATAAAATTCTGAAATGCATGGACATTCAAAGGGGTTGGGGAAGAGTACACTGGCTCAAGAATCTAGGAAAGACTTTGTGGTGGTAAACCTTTACTCTGAGGAGGGACAGAAGGTAAAATGATGAAAGGGAGGGAAGGCAGGGAAGGCATAAGAATGATCCTGGTGTGGATGAGCAGCACTATTTTAGCATCTTCTCAAGGGCTGATTCCATCTATCTGTTTTCAAATGGTAATTCCTTTAGAATGTGAACTATTTTTTTTTTCATCCTTTGCATAACCAACAATCTTTACAACAGTTTTATGTAAACTCCAAGAAGGATAGTGTTAGTATTCTCAAAATACCCAGTGGTATTCTTATTACTTCCACAGTACTGAGAAACCCATTCCTGGTAGGGAATCTTCGTAATAAGAGGAGTCATAATTTAAATTTTCATAACATCTTATTTTCCCATGCTTTAAATGCTCTTCCTATAATACAGTAGCCCAACAATCTTTAACAGCTTCCAAAACTCTTTTAGCTTTTCCTTGGTACATGGTAGGCCTAGAATAGTTTTAAGACTCTTTTTTGTGTTAAGTATTATTTTTAAAAGTCTGATGAAATCTATGAGTTCTCTCAAGGAAAGTGTACATATTCCATGTGTGCTGCTTTTGCATAAAACTCCAGGGGATTTTCAACCACTCCTGAGACCTCTAGAGAACCACCAAGCCCTGGATAAAAACCCTAATCGTTACAGGATCTAGTGTTTTAGTTATAGTGCGACACCTGTGTGCCTTGAACTGCCCACAGACATCTTTTCCACCGTGTTTTTTTTTTTTTTCCTTCTCTCCTTGGGCCTTGTTTTCTTGCGAGTGTTTAAATTTGTTTTATCACGACCTACTTATTTTCCTTGGGAAATCATTTGCAGAACTTGTTTGGGGCTAGCTTGGAGTCACACACATTCCCCTCTTCCCCACCTCAAAAAAAAAAAAAAAAGAAAGAAATTGTGCTGGTTTCTGCCCAGTACTAGAGACTTGACTCTAGTTTAATTGAATGGCTTAGGGTTATTTGGACCACCCAGGTTACATGAATTGGGGACCTTGTGGCAGACTGAATGGTAGGCAAGATATGCTCACCACTTGATTCCCTAATCTAGGAAAGTCACCTTATTTGGAAGAGATTCTGCTCATATAATTAAGATAAAGGACCTTGAGATGAGGATCTGGATAGTCTGGGTGAATCTTCAATCCAACAATAAATGCTATCATGAAGGACAAACAGAGGAGAAGCAGAGGTCAAGGGCTGCTGACAGCCACCCACCAGAGTTGGAAGAGACAAGGAATGACTCGCCTCTAGAGCCTTTGCAGGGAGCCACGCCTGCTAACACCTTGATTTTAGACTCCTGGCCTCCAGAACTGTCAGAAAATAAATTTCTGTTGATTTGAGTCCCCAGTTTGGCGTGATTTGTTACAGCAGCTACAGGAAGTCAGCATGGGCTCCAAATCCACACAAGGGTTGACCTGTTGTGACAATTCCTCTAGGGCCTTCCCTCATTCCTGCCCGGCTCAGCTGGGAGACTACATTCCTTGCTGTCCCCTGGGGCAGAGAATGTCAAAAACGGGGAAGGGCATTTGACTACAAGTTAGTCTGCCACCGTTTCCCGTTTCCTGGATGCTGGAGGAAGATTTAAGATTCCCAGGTCAGAAACAAAGGAAAGCTTATCACTCGCAGCAATAGCAGTAGCCAGAACATCAGCATTCGAGTCAGTTCCCAACCTGTAATTCCCATCGAGTAACATGAAGGAATTCAAATAATGCACATAAATAGGTTTTTTATGGGAAAGAAATCTTGGGTTTAGTGAACAAGTTGAACCTGTCCTCCTATGGTGCCACTAGGAGATGCCATCTCTGTTACACTGGACAGTAGGCCTGCAAGCCCTTTGCTCTAAAGGGAGACACTATTTCCATTTTCCAAGACTAAGCAAATCTGTTTTTTGCTTTGGAGGGAAAAACTATCTTCTAAGGCTGGTCACTGACAAACATCCTAGGGAAAATAGCTCAGGATGAAGGTGGTCAGTGCTACGGCCTGTGAGATGTGCAGAAATACCAGGGACCCTTGGAGACAGGGTGGTCTCCTAACAGAAGGTGCGGAGGGATTGGGTTTTCTTCTGACTTACTCTCACTCTGAAGGTTTATAAGTTATTGATTGCTAATTAACCTTATCTTCCCTCTACCAGAAATGGGCTAGGCAGCTCATGCAAGCCTTCCTGGAGGTAACAGAATCAAAAACATAAATATAGGATGATTCTGCACATAAAATGCAATGACAGAAATGTGTAGGTTTCCGGCGGGTGAGGACGGGTGTTTTGCAGACTACTAAGAGATTTGGTGCAAGTTATTAAAGCCTATCGCCCTGCAAGGCTGTTTGAGTTGCCTTTCAAAGTACTTCCAAAAGAGGAATTCTCCAACTATTTTGGGGAGTCACAGCATTGTTCAAAAAGTACAACTTCCCAGGGTGTCTACTTTGAAGGAGGCCTGACTTATTTGTATCTAGGGCTCAGTGTGAAGGTTCAAAAGCAAATGAGCTGTTTTAATACTTTCTCTTATTTACGGAAAGTCTACCAGCACTAAACTGTGAGGGAGAATTCAGGCAGGAAAGAAGACAAGGGACAAATAAGAATGACAGTTGTGCCAGGGACATTTCTCTACCTGACAGCACATTCCCACCTATGGGTTGGGGGTGGCAGCGCCCAACTGGAGGCTTTGGTTGAAGCAGGAGGAGGTGGGAGTTGGGTAAGCCCTCCCAGCCCTTCCCTGTCATCTGTTTTTATTTGTTGTTTCCCTATGTGAGGTGTTCCCTGGACTAGGAAGCTAGCTCTTCACTCCGCTCTGTGGCTGCTGAGCCTTTCACCATCTGCTACCTAACTCGACAGCCCACTTGGGACTAGAAGTCCCCAAATCAACTAGACTGAACAGAGTTGTACCTCAATTCAACAAAAAAAAAATGCCTGCTTTCTACCAATTCTCTCGATCCCATTGGTATGAGACCAACCTTTACAGGGACACAAGTCAATGAGTTGCAGGTAAAATCAATTGATTAAGCTGGGGGGGAGAGACAGACAGAGAGACAGAGAGAGGAGACGGAAATAGACTGCAAAGTAACGAGAAATCCAAATTACCTTTGTTACGTGAAGCAAAACATTTCTGAATTTAGTACCTAGCCTAGAACAAACCCAACCACTGAGATGTGAACCTTTTTTTTTTTTCTTCCTCCTCTTTTTTCCCTTTTTATTTTTGAGAGCAAAGCACATGTTTCCCCCTGCGTCAGCAAGCCAGGCAAATGCTGAGTTTAAGGCAATCAAAGGGCATGAACTTGAACTAAAGTTTGAAAATATAGACTGTCCTAGATAGTATCTCAAGGTTGGGAGACATTTTGACATAGAGCTGAACATAAGTCTTTTCTCCTCCATAGAACCAGTTACCCTCTGCTCTGGAAGCCGGAGAAATGGTTCACATTTCCCATAGTGGAAACAAAGACGACCCCAGTTGAACCAAAAAATCACAGTTTTCCCACAGTTTGGTTCTTTATCTTGGGTCACGGGGGACAGCAGACCTTGAGCTGGAAGGTGAGTTTGTAAGGGTGAAGGTGCCTCCAGGAATGGAACTTGTAGGTTTTACTTAAGAGTTTTCCTAGGAATGTGCAATGACCTTTGATGGCTGTGGGTTAACTTGTGGTCCCAATGGCACCAAATGGTCACATTTAAAAGATTGCAGGAGCTGATATAGAAAAGAGCCAGGTTATCCGCCCAGATCTTATAACAAGACAAAAGGGACTCTGAGCACCCTCTCTGGCTGAGTTTGGGGTCTGGAATCCTCAGGAAGAGGCCCAAGAGAGTCAGATAGCTCAATGGGCAGGGATAGGCCCAACTTGAAAGTCAGCTTCTAGCTCAGTTAAAGTAGGAGCAAAATGGACTGTCAATTGTAGTTCAAAGAGCCCTTTACTAGGCACCTTGATGAGAGTTGCTCCTTTGGGAGGGACCAGGGCCTTCAGCCAGGCAGAATCCAGAGTTGCAAGGACAGAAAGCATGAAATCCTCCAGTGGATCTTCAAGAATGAGGGTAAACGGGGCCCTCCTACTCCCACTCCTTGGTCTCTGAAATCATGTGTCCTTCCTACTGGAGACAACCCCACAGAGGAGTCTCTGGCCTAATAAACATAGTGCATCCTGAAGCATGCTCCCCACCCTTCCAGGGAGTGTCCTTTGAGCTGGCATCTCAGCTATAGCATTGACAGGCTGTCCTGATATTCTTGGAAGCAGGCTATTCCAGTGCAGATCACCAAGTCAACTGCCACAAGCAGATGTCCAACTGGAGAATGAGATGCCAGTGTCTGCCCTTTTGCAGGTATTCCCAATTTTCAGGAGTGATATGTTTGGCTTCAAGGAAGGGCTTCCATCGTCTGTGACTTACTTTACAACACTCTCCAGGAATGGAACTTGTAGGTTTTACTTAATGTACATGTGTGTTGGTGTCCAACTGTATCCTCAGGAAAAATAGTGACGATGTGGGCTACTCCACTTAGAAACTCACAGTCTAGGAATGATGAGTTTGCATTTGGAAATTGTAAAGGCCATCTGAGATTTCAACAAGTGTGCTGAATGACCTCCAGATTCATGTTCTGTGCTGCTCCACATGCTCTCTGTGAACCCCAAGATCTGACTCTACCAACTCTACATCAATCAGCCCTTCTCCTCTGGTTTTCTGTGGGAAGGTGCCAGCAGGTGACTAGGGCAGAGGGAGAAAGAGGCTGAGTATTTATCCCCAACTCCCAAAGCCACACAACTCTTTTCAGGCTACAGGTTGGCAGTGATCCCACCCCTCACTCCGAGGCTGCAGCTACTACCTGGCAGCCCTCTGCTTCAGGTATGGCTCCCTCCAGGTACTGAAGACCACTTCTTCCTACATCCCTTCAGGCTTGCAAGAGTAGCAAAGCCCCTCACAGTTCCTGGCCCAGCGTGCTTCACTGTCCTTTGCTAGTGCCTTCTGATCCTGACCACACCTTTGCAAAGGTCACTTCGCTGCACTTTCTTCCATGACCTTGTTTGAGTGTGTCATCTGTCTTCTGCACAGGATTTTGACAAATGCAAGTACTTTTATCTCGAGTCAACTCTAGAAGTTTTATTAATTAGCATTTTAAAAACAATTTTTTATGTGGATGAGTGGTGTTGAAGATGGTAGAATTAATTAGCTATTGCTCTTGCAAAAAACAGAGTATTAGAATCTATTCCACCAGGCAATTCCTTCTGAACTGCCATTTTGGGACAAATAGCCACCTGTTTAGGAAAGTTGGCCATGACGAGACGATTGGCTAAAACTTGCCAGGTGAACCCTCCTGCAATCATTTCAAGAGAATCCTGTGCCAGGTACTCATAGAATCTAGGACAGATTGCTGGGACTTTCTCGAGTTCATAGGTGGATTGGATGGATTGATTTGTTTGCTTATGGATTTATTTTTGTCTGCTTGCTCATAAAAAAAAAATGTGCATCAGAATTTGGCTGGAACTTCTGGATTGTGGGTGAGAGAACTTTAGCCTTCCCCTACTTCAAACAGTTTAAAGCTACCAACACTTGAAAGAATGATTCAGTAATTATGAACCATCCGACTGGCTTAGATCAGGCCACCACAGAGAAAAGCCTTCGCTCTCCTCCCTGACAAGGAGGGAAGAAAAATTGCCTTTCCCAAACACTGCACTTCCCCAAGGATCAAAGACCACAGTGGCTCTGTCCTTTGTGTCCCCTTTGTGGACCAAGGGTGGCAGGAAGGAGGAAGGGCTTTGCGGTATCTTCGTAAATGTTGCAGTGGGTGCTCCCCCTGCGCCTGAGGACTCTTCCAGGAGATGAGGTACTTAGCAACTCTGTTTTCAGCTATGAGCCCTTGTTACCAGTGGGGCCTTACATGGGGCCAGGCCATGTTATAATTTACATTTACAAATGCAAATTTCACTGTAGGAAACCTCCAGAGACAGCATATGGCTAATATCTTTGAAGTGCAAGAAAGGAAAAAGGAGGCCCATGGAGGCTGAGCCACTCACCAAGGCCCATCTGTATGTGGTGAACAGGGAGTAACTGCAGCCCCAGTTGCCTACCACATCTGGGCTGCTGCCTGCCGCAGTCCAGTAAACTTAAGTAAATTTAAGTGCAGAATCCGAAAGAGGTACATTTGTCAGTCACAACATACCACTCCAAGTCCAGGACCATGCTGCATGAAGCAGGATGAGTAGAGGAAGTGGGCTTCCTTCCCAGAGAGCTGACTGCCTGGCTGGAATCCACAGCTAACTCCCAACATGGAACCAGAGCCCAGCTAGCCCATTGGAGTGTGACCAGCTCTAAGAACTCAGGAGCA